TGCGCCCCTTCTTCGTGCGTCTCCCTGGCGACGTCACAGCGATGACCGGAGGAGAGGCCATCCTCCGGTGCCGTGCTGGAGGGTCGCCGCCCCCTCACGTGCTCTGGAGGAGGCACGACGGTCGGATGCCGGTCGGTCGGGCGCGCCTCGATGCCGACTACACCTTGAGGATCACCGAACTCACCGTGGACGACGCTGGGGTGTACATATGCCAGGCCGAAAACGCCGTCGCTACCGTGGTGGCCAACGCTACGCTGACTGTCTATGGTAAGGGTCTTGGTTGCATTGCGTAGTTGTTTTTTTCGTGATTGGTATTATGGTTACTTTGGTGTTTCTTTTGTATTTTTTTGATTTTTTTTTTTTTTTGTATGTGTTTTGTGTTTGTTTTGTTTTTGTGTTGTATTTATTTTGGATTTGTTTATTTACTCTTACCATTTTGTTTTCGAAAACTAATCGGTATGATCATGTTTTTTGAATGATGAGTAATTCTAAGCCAGTTTTATTTCCTTCTAACAGTCATTGGACATTACATCTTTGAGAATACCAGAGAGTTTTCTTTACTTGAATTCAACTGTAAATGCAGAACGAGTTAAAGTCTCGTAAAACACGTTTCGAATTATGTTTCGAAGTCAAATAATATGAACGATGTTGGTTAGGTTAGAGGGGGGGGGGTCATAGCTACGTTCATGGTGCGTGACTCGGGTTCATGACTGAATAAACATCCGGGTTTCATGACAAAGTTGTTCACGACTCCGATCCATGCTCAAGTGTCCAAGTTTCTTATTCATGTCGTTCTGTTCCTCCGGCAGACTCGCCTCGCTTGGTGTCCGGGCCCGTGGACGTGTCTGTGGTGCTGAACACGACGGTGCGCCTCCCCTGCTACGGGCGCGGCACTCCCCCGCCCACGCCCGTGTGGACGCACTCCTCCCTGCCGCAGCAGCCCCTTAGCCCCGGGTGGGCGGGCCAGCACGCCTCCGTCACCAGGGATGGCACGCTGGTGCTCACGCCCGCAAGCGAGGACCAGGGAGGTTCTTGGACCTGTTCGCTGGTGAGTGAGGCCGGAGCCGCCCACGCCCGCGCCTGGCTCACCCTGGTCGCCCCCCGAGACACCCCGCCGCCCATCATCAGCGTCCCGCCCGCCAACCAGACTCTCCCCGCCCGAACGCACGCCACTCTGCACTGCCGCGTACAGGGCCCGCCGACGCCCACGCTTACCTGGTACCGAGGTGCGGCGCCCGTGCGGACCGACGGAAAGAGGATCTCCGTGAGCAGGGAAGGCGACCTCACCATCACCAGTAAGGCTTCGCTTCTCTTGCCCCTTTTGTATGACTAATGTGAATTCCACCTCGTTCTTGTATCTCTTCCTTAGCATTTTATTCCTTTTAAAATGCAAACTTAATAACGGAAACATATACAAGTGAAAAAATACAGATAAACAAATATAAATACGAACATACCCATACATTTAACAAATAAACTTTTTAAAAAATCCCATATAAAACCACGCGCGACAGTACACACAATCCTACACGCTGTAATCACAATAAATTCCACCTTTTTTTTTCTTTCTTTCTTTCGAAAAGCGAGAGAAACAGACTCGCAAAATGTACGTCTACATCTTAAAGTAAAACTCGCTGAAACGGTCCAGATGGTATACGCTTTAATGTGTATAAAAAGACGCGGCCAGTTTCGCAGGGTACAAATTTATGTGCAAGAAGAATCTATAGTCTCTGTAAGTTCACTGGTAACTGTTTTTTTTTTCTCGTTTTCGTATGTTATTTTTTTGGTACGTTTTTAAAGGTTTTGTTGTCTCTTCATCTTTATACGGTTTTTTTTTTTTTTTCTTTCTTTCTAGCCATCTGATTTTCGGTACGCTCATTCTATTTATTCTTATCCCTCTTCTCTCTCTCTCTCTCTCTCTCTCTCTCTCTCTCTCTCTCTCTCTCTCTCTCTCTCTCTCTCTCTCTCTCTCTCTCTCTCTCTCTCTCTCTCTCTCTCTGTCTGCCTTCTCGTCTTATTCTCCATCCCTCCGTCTCCCACTCTTTCTCTCCTCCTCCTCTTTCTTCTTCTTCTTCTTCTTCTTCTTCTTCTTCTCCTCCTCCTCCTCCTCCTCCTCCTCCTCCTCCTCCTCCTCCTCCTCCTCCTCCTCCTCCATCTCCTCCTCCTCTCTCCCTCCTTCCTTCACCCCCACCCTACTTCTTTCCCTCCTTCTCTCCTTCTCTCCCTTCCTCCTACATTCCCTCCATCCCACCTTCTTGCTCTCTCCCTCCCTCCCTTCCCTCCTCCCTCCCTTCTTCCTTCCTTCCCTCCTATCCTCTTACTCTCCATCTCTCCCTCCTTCTCTCCCTCCCTATTTCCATCCCTCCATCCCACCCTCTTTCTCTCTCTCCCTCTCTCCCTCCCTCCCCCCCCCACCCTCCTTCTCTCCATCTCTCCCTCCTTCTCTCCCTCCCTCCTTCCATCCCTCCATCCCACCCTCTTTCTCTCTCCCTCCCTCCCT